GACGCATAAATAAATAGGCAAATAAATAAATAAATAAGTCTAGCAAGTGGGCCAAATCTTCTGGCTTGGAACGATGAGTCGGGCTAGCCAGATTCAGTCACAACCAGATGCCCTGAAGGGCGATTTCACAACCGATGCATGAAGTGGATTGAAGGACTGGCTGAAAGAGGGCCAGGACAAAGCTGACTATTATTCTCCGTTGCCATGGCTACTGCTAAGGAGAGACGGAGACTCGGGGAACGAGATGATGGTATTTCGATGTGGAGTTGTCCGAAGTCTCATTTGGCCGCCCCAGCGTCTACGTCGGCGGAAGAGTCGACGTTGACGTTGGCGTTGAAGTTGGCTTCGGCGAGATGTTGAGGCGGCCGGCCGGCCGTCGTGGCGGTCGACTTAGAGTTGGCTCTGAGTGTGAGACAGGGCGAGGGCAAAGGCGACGGTAACGGCGACGGCGACGGCGATGGCGAGGTTTGCAGATGAGCGTGTTTTGCTTCACCAGCCAGGTTCAACAGACTGCTGCCCGCCTCGCCTTCAATGCCGTTGGGCACGACGAGACAGAACCGGTTGACCGAGGCCACCTTCCCGATGCCCTCGGGCGTGTAGCAGTGGAAGACGTCGAAGCGGGTCCGGAGGCGGACGTTGCTAGGGCGAGCGAACACCCGATCGGTGAGGAGAGAGACGAGGCTTCCGGCCAACAGGCTGACGAGCATTGCAAATGTTTTAGTCGGGAAGCGTTGGTACTGACCCTCGTCGGAGTAGTAGGGATAGCGGATCAACGGAGGCAGGCCGAGCAGACTCTCGCCGGCGGTGAGTCGGAAGATGAGACCGGCCAGGTAGCCGACCAGCGAGCCGTAGGTGTTGGAGAAGGGGAAAAAGAGGACGGCCACAAGCTGCGGAAAGAGGATGACGTAGACGAGGTCAGAGCAGAGGTACCACAAACCGTAGATCGAGGGGATTTGGATGCCCATCAGGCAGGCCAAGCCGCCCATTATGAAGATGCTGGCGCGCATCACCCAGATGATCTGCGTCTCACTGGCGGACGGCCAGAAGATGGGCTTGATCACGTTCCTGGCGAACATCGAGGCTGCCGAGAGGACGGATGAGTCGGCGGACGACATCACGGCGGCCGAAACGGCGCCCAGACCGACGAAAGCCACCCAAGATGGGCAAAGATGTTGCAGCACCAGAGGAAGCACCACATTCATATCGGAGTCTGGAATGGTGCTGTTGTACGAAGTCTGGGTCCAGTCTGAGCAGTCAGAGAATAGGCCGAAAATGGGACGATTAAATGAGGTTAAAGTAAAGTCTAGACCGCAGTCATTTCGTGTAAATAGATACTTTAGTCGACCACACTACAAGACGACAGCTGATTCTCGTTACTATGCCGTCGTTTAAGGCCACTATGACATTTCGCATGGCACAGTCCAGGAATCACACTTCCTCAGTTCTGACGGAACGAGCTGAGCTATCGTCCACAATGCCATTTGACAGACATCCTTAGTGGTCAAGGTCAGTCTCACCCAAACCACAAGCTAACACTTGGCGAGCAAGTTTAATCGGCTCAATCCAACGACAGCAACAAGGAAATAATAGAAAAAACAAGATATCGGTTGGCCCCCCTTTGCAAATGCACAATGAGAACTTTTTTCTGTTACTGTTTTTAGTTTTGTTGCTAGCATAAAGAGCTTAGAAGATATAAGCGGCTAGTTTGCAAATACAAGAAAAATCTAGTTGAAGTATAGATAGGTAAATACATTTTTTTTAAATATATAGACAGATAGGGAGAAAAATGGATAGATTGCAATCACGCTTTCTAAATTGTGAACTATCATATAAAAAGCCAGACATTACACAATCCGATTGATAGTTACAAAAGAGTCATTCGACAATATAACCAAATAATCTACTCTAATTAGCAAACATACAAAGAAAACATAGCAAAGACGAGGACTGAACTAGTCATGGAGACGGGACGGAGGTCAACCATACCAATTGAGCCAGTGTGAGTATGCAAAACACAAGCGAAGACATTAGCCAAGTCGTGGAGATAGTACGTGCCTAAATTGCTATGAAGAGAGGAAGAAGGCATACAAGAAAACAAGAAAGCCCGAGTAAACTCTAAGCAACATTGTGATCTACGAGTGCCGACAATAAACACAGCATCCCTTTTTCCTAACCGACAAAAGAATACACAAACACATGATAAACAATTCTTTTCGCCCCCAGATTGCACAACACGGTTGAAGGTGGCAATAGTGCAATTGTTCGTATTGCGTAGATTATGGAGAATAAGAAAAATGAGAAATGTATTCATTTTCTCTATCAACTACAACTTTGCTTCATCGACACTCCCACTAAAGAGCACGACATGACAAAATGCCTAGCCTTCCTTGGAATTCACATCTGCCCTCTGATCCAAGATCACTCGTGGCAGTGTGGCCGTCATTACACGTTGCACTGTCACGGTTCGACTCTCGTTGGAGGTGTTTATAAGACCTGGGCGAACACCCCTGGGAAGCAAGGCCATACGAAATTTAATTGACACATAAGATCTACTCATCTGATTGTGGAAACATTCAATTTCCATTTAACG